GCGCAAAATGCCGTCCGTAAGTTAAATCGCCAAGTTGCATTGGATGGAACTTTCTTGCTGCCGTTGACTCCGCCCCTGCAGCAAAAGGCCTGAGCACGGTAGGAATCTATCGGTTCAGCGGCTTTTACTACAGGATTTTACCCATACTGACAACAGTCACTTGGTGGACCAGCAGTTGCCAAAGAGCTACTCGGCTACGGCCACCACCTACTTCTCTGTTTTGATGTCATAGTTTATCAGGGAAGAAGCTCACATCAGTAAGCTTCCCTTCAAGGTTTTCGCCCGAATAATTCCAAAGTGGAGAAGGGTGTCTTTTCAACCCTCACGCCCCCAAAATATGTAGGAGCTAAACAAAGCGCACTGGATCTGGAAGCCTGTGCAATTGTCAGAAATTTCGCCGGCAGACAGCTAGCACACCGTCTGCCAGAAAGGAAGCACTTGATTAGAATCGAGACTTCAAGACAAAAAATGAATTTACCCAGTAAATTAAATAAAACAAAACCAGGAGAATAAACTGATCATGTTTCATCTCGAAATTGCTTCTGAAGTGCTTGTTTGTGACATGGCCGTCACAACGGTTGATTTCAGAGTGCATCATACAATATGATATCTGTGATGGTTTTTGCGGGAGGTGTATTGTTCAGTTTCACATCACTCTCGTTTTTAACAGCCGTCCTCCTGTCCTGGCGCAATTATTCATGTGAATCCGCACCCCGAGGCGGGGAAGCACTGGACTCGAGTTTCGCTCCTGTTAGAGCTCATGAGCAGTGCACATCCGATGGCCGTGCCGGGATTTGAACTCCGGACACCTGAGATGCGAGGGGAACGTGTTACCACTATTCCACCAGCGCACGTTGAACGCATCTGGGTTCTCACGTCTGAACGGGTGAACGTGTTCTCACTTGAGCGATGTGATTAGTATGCCCGACACATCATCGATACGACGACCCAGTAACCGTCCTGGTTGTGACGTTCGATTGGCCCGCTTGTCAGGACTTCCCAGTCAGGTAGCGTCACGTTGTAACACGTTCGCCTCGCATGTCAGGTATCCGGAGTTCAAACTCCGGCATGGCCATTGGATATGCACCGCTCATGAGCTCTAACAAGAGCGAAACTCGAGTTCAGTGCTTTCCCTCCTCGGGGTGCGGATTCACATGAATAATCGCGCCAGGACAGGAGGACGACTGTTCAAAACGAGAGTGATGTGAAACTGAACAATTTGACATCTCTTTACGTCGTCTGAGGCTACCTTTTTTTCAACACAAAGCTCTGCTGAGCCTTCACTGGTGTAGGTGTCATGAAGGTGTGTTAAACTGGTTGGGCTAAATTATCTGCCCCGGGAAAGGGTGATTCTCAAGCCTGGATACTGAAGATGTTGGGTCAGCTGACGAGTAGGTTCCTCGGGTTATCACGACAAAATCTCCGCACAGGATATTTTTACCGATATAGGAAGAGGCCGGTTATTTTTAAGCGCGATTGTCGCTTGGTATCATCTGGTTAGTCACCATCACCAGTATAGCTTACAAGATAAAGGAACGTACACGACAGTGAACTACTCTGGAGCGCACAACTACCAACTATCTTTTGTCTGGAGTAATGCGGATTTATACCGAGTCGTTCCCGCATACAAACTTGCTGGATTTTATGGACACCTTGATCCAAATGGAAGGCAATTGACCAATCTTAGTTTCCATATTCCCTAAGTTCATTAGGGTCACCGAAGTATACTAAACATCTCGTTGTACCATAATCTAAAGGCTTGCGGCTTTCAGTAGACATTATGACAGAAACTTTAACGTTTTTCCCAACGTGAGCACAACTTGCATCCCCTCCCGGCGATCACCGTCAAAGCTACTCAGAGTTTATTGAGACTGATAAATCGTCTGAGCCTCGTCCCAAATAAAGCCAGTTATTGCAAGCTCTTCTATTCGCTAACGCATTTTCTGTTCCCCACCTGAGTGTGAGGGACAGTCCCCCTCAGAAGGTTTACAGTGGGAGCTACAAACCAACAACCGAGACCATCGACGCACATGTCCGCGGCAGTTCTAGGTAAGAATGATGAAGCGCTGCCGCAATTAAATTTTTGTACTGGCTTTTGTAGTAGGGCGTTCAAAGCATTTCAACTGCCAACCATCACGATAGCATCGGAGGTGGCCTTACATCAGAGTATCACTGAAAGGTGGAGATTCATAAGGGTTGTAACGGGCGAACGTTGTCTTCGAGTGACGAGTAATACCAGAACCTCCGGGTAGGCAAACCAAGGTCGGAACTGGGTTTCTATACGGTATTATTAGTGTGAAACAAATTCACAAATTATACAAACCTCGACAGTAGGTACGCGTCCAAAACAAACGGTCCACTTGGACTACAAAAGTACAAACCAAGAGAGCAAACAGGCTCCCACATACGATAGTTACATCTGCAAAGTCGGGTACAAATGGCTGGATGACCTCAAGGCCAAATGGGTGAAGTGATGAGGACAAACAAACGTCAGCTCATAAACACGCACTAAACACAAAAGTGGGGCGGGAGTAACAAACGGGGACAGAATAAACGTGGGGAACTTCATTGTCAACGTAATAGATGATGCAAGGGTTTTATGAGCATCTGCTACCCAGCAATCAGCAACAACCCGAGATATAAACGACGCTGCATACATACTCTGATGCCACGCGCTCTCCAGAATGCCGTTTCCTCTCATGCGCAGTACATACTTGCATGTGGCACTACCGGTGAGACTTTTGGCCTATTTGCCCAGGCACCTAGCTGTCCATCTAAATGTAAGATGATGATGAAACTGCGGCATAGATGCTCAACACCATCGGTCACTTGTCGGCGAGGTCATCAAAATTCTCGAGAGATCTCGAATTTTTCGCCGATTTTAAAGATCTGAACGTTACCGGAGCCCTGTTTATTTTCTGAGATCATCAGCACATGGACATATCAACGTGTGCGCCTGGATAGCGGGCTGATTTCCGGAGGCTGCCACAGAAATCTCTTCCAAGCGTGAAACTTTAAACATCTCTCAATTTTGTCGCCCTAAAAATGGTTAAGCTGTAAACTTCCCAGTCTGCGGAGCCTGTGTGTGAAACTTTGGCTTCAGGAGTACCTGTCATTCTTGAAAGTTCTTCCATGATACCCTGCTGCAACGAGATCATTTAATAATAATAATAATATGGTTTAGTCCCAACTTGAGTGTGGGGTAACGTTAGGCATGATCATAATGTTACAGTCAGAACAAAAGTATGACTGGCGGGGATTATGGGCACAGGGAGGTTAGGAAAAGAGACAGCGTCTTAGGCAGTTTTCATTATCCAATGTAGGCGTGATCACCACCACCAGTAATATCAATCTCGAGGGATATCCTGCTTACTTCCAAAATTATGGGCACAGGGAGGTTAGGAAAAGAGACAGCGTCTTAGGCAGTTTTCATTATCCAATGTAGGCGTGATCACCACCACCAGTAATATCAATCTCGAGGGATATCCTGCTTACTTCCAAAATAATATCTTGCTTAACCTCTTTCCCATGAAGTATGGTCGCCCACAGGGAGAACCAATGCTAAGTCATACCCTGTTTGAGCAAGGCTTAGCAGACAGTTTTTTCGCCCCCATCTGACTAACAGGCAGTGGGGTCATAGTGAGATTTTCAAGCTCGGACCGCACAAATTTATAAGGCAAATTTTTCTCATTTTGGATAGCTGTTCATAAATCCATATGAACCTGGTCTCTTTCTGGCAATGATTAGTGCACACTGAGTTGGGATCGCTCCCAATTTAATCCTGAAAAATGGTTTGGCGATTCCTCATATACTCCCACCAGCCCGCATGTCTCGGTTGGCTTGATATCTTGACTGTGCCCCGGAAAGGGGGCCGTCGTTTCCAGATAACTCTCGATCCTTCCAAATTGCCACTGGGCTTTTGGCCATCTAAGAACTCTCAGTTTAGAACTATTTCTGATCTGCCTTCGCCAACTTGAGGATTAACTGAGTGTCAAATTCGAATCTAAAGTCACCCAATTCTGGCTCACGTGATTCTGCGAGAATAGATTAACATGAAGAACTTTCGGCACCAGACAACGAAAGGCATTTAATTAAGGGTTCACAGTTCTCCATACCTCCTCACATTCTACTCTTAATTAAAAATGGATGTCTTACGGAGGATCTGGTCTAGGAAAAACTCCCCTTTTAACCGAATTTGGCTTTTCACCCTATCTACAGACGCGGCCTCTGTGGACTGCCCCCAAGCTGCTCTGCCGAGAGCCATTTGTAGCCTCAGTTACTCGCCCAGTCGGGAACGTATGCTATCTCCTTTTCTAACTCACCAACATCGTCAAATAGACAAGCTATTACGGAGCAGCTTGCTGGTCTATGATACAGCCCTGAACACTTTTCACTCCAACTTACTGCAGCCCCGCATTTGTGCAAATGACTCCGCGCCCTCTATAATGTTTAAATTCTATTTACGTACTCAGAAGATATAGTTCCTATTCCCGTTCGGGTCCATATGCAAGTAATCGGCGCGCTTTAATCATTTATCTCTTCCCGGGTGGAATTGGAGGCCAAAAATGTGATTGGTGACCGAAATTATCGTCATTTCCAAGTTTCCACTATTGTGGGAACGCTATTACAGAAACATGAAGTTACCTAGCCGCCAACCTTCCCCCAACCACTGCATCACTTACGGCTCCCGTCGCGATTCGAGTAGCCCAGCTCGTTGGAAAATCTCGTCACTTACTGAGTCAGAATAGCACGTATTCCCTTCATTACTGAGGCATTTGCCTGACTCCCCAGCAAGGCTTTCAAAATACGAAGCGCCGCAAAGCCCGAGTGCCCCGTTGTTTTAATCAGTCGTCGGTATATTGGAGACATCCGACGACAAGACGCGGGTAACCCCTGGTTGGACTTCGTTACCTACGACCCACAACGTAAGTGCTGGGCTTACTATAGACTTGAGCTTTGCCAGTTAATTTATCTCTTCCCAGAGTTGCGATTTCGCCGCGATGTTGAAAAGCGGTGATAATCCCTCATCCGATGCTGACTGGAAGGCGTCCCTTACTCTCCCGAAAAAAGATTTGCGCCTCAAGACAGCCGACGTCACAGCGATCAAAGGGAACAGCTTCGAGGATTTTTGTCTAAAACGCGATATCCTCAAAGGTATCTATGAGAAGGGTTGGGAATATCCATCACCGATCCAAGAATCCAGCATCCCAGTGGCACTTACTCGCCGAGACATCATGGCCCGCGCGAAGAACGGTACCGGAAAAACCGGTGCTTACTCAGTACCACTCCTGGAGTCCATAGACACATCTCTTAACAAGATACAAGCCATGATCCTTGTCCCAACGCGCGAGCTTGCTCTTCAAACTAGCCAGATCTGTATAGAACTGGCGAAGCACACTGCAATCAAAGTTATGCTCGTAATCGGTGGCACACTTCTGAAGGACGACTTGATTCGTTTGAGCCAGACTGTCCATGTTTTGATTGGAACTCCTGGTCGACTAGTTGATCTGTTTAACCGCAACTTACTGGACATTTCAAAATGCAAATCAGTTGTACTTGACGAAGCTGACAAGCTCCTCTCTGAGGAATTGAAGGGTGCGGTTGAACAGCTGCTGAATGCAGTAGACGAAAACCGCCAAGTCATGGTGTACTCTGCTACCTACCCGGTTACTGTCCAGTCCTTCATGCAAAAGCACTTGCGCAACCCATATCAAATTAACCTCATGGAAACCCTCACCCTGAAGGGCATAACGGAGTATTATGCTTATGTGCAAGAGAAACACAAGGTGAGTAGCTTTTCTTTCTTACAGCCTTCCACAGGTTCACTGTCTTAATACCCTTTTTTCAAAGTTACAAATTTGCCAATCGATCATTTTCTGCAGCAGTGCTCAACGTGTTGAACTTCTGGCGAAAAAGATCACACAGCTTGGCTACTCATGTTATTATATTCATGCCAGGATGTCTCAGCAGGATCGTAATCGCGTCTTTCATGACTTCCGAAATGGCTGTTGCCGAAATCTCGTTTGTACAGATCTTCTTACCCGTGGAATCGACATTCCTTCCGTTAATGTTGTTATTAATTTTGACTTCCCAAAATATGCAGAGAGCTATCTTCATCGTATCGGCCGGTCTGGTCGCTTCGGTCATCTGGGAATCGCTATCAACTTGGTCACATACGCTGACAGGTATGCCTGGATTTTATGGTACATGTTCCCATAGATATGCCTTAAAAACCATTGAAACGGAGTTGATGACCGAGATTAAACCCATCCCAAAAGAGATCGACAAGCGGCTGTACGTTGCAGAGTACCAGAATGAAGGTGACTTGGATCCGGCCGCACGGGAGGCTTTGTTCAACGGTCTCGGCTTGCCTCCCGCAGAAAGCAAAGAGACCGTGACCAACACTCAATAGCCAAAAGCTTTTCTTCCCGGTGACTTCGAGGATTGAATCCGAGATGATCGCCACAGAATCAAGAACTTTGATTTAGGCCCCCTTATTTTCTTTGCAGCTTCGATAATGGATTCATTCCCACTCGTGATACGCTGTATAGTTTCCTTACCCCATACTGTCCCTTACAGTTTGGGTGCTGTTTTTTTCATGTGTTTATTTTTTTGTTATCAAGACTAGCCCTACAAATGAGCCCTTCCCCTGTATCATATCCCAGATGTACAGTCGGGCAGTTTGCCCAATCTCCTCACTTTGGTGTACAGTCCTTCGAAGATCGAGTAGTCGATCACCTGGCGAGGCACTGTGGTGCCATCAGTGCATTTCGGTTATGACCTGGTACATCGGATAGACAATCGGAGACGGGATTTCTAGTGCGCCTTACAAACTTGCCGACCAGGTCGTCTCAGACTCTGCAAGTGTTGGACAATTGTTTTCAGGTTGTTTTCCTTGGCCGTGATGCTACCATCGCTGGACTGATTATGGAAGAACGATGGTAGTGTGTTATTTGTAACGTAGGCCTTTCCTCTGTTCGTGGTCAGTGTTGTCCCATTTGTTTGCAGCCGGATGTTCGTGTATTGGAAGCTGACCGTTGACGGTAAATTGTTAAAGTTGATATTCCACTATTTTTGCCTTTTGTTCTGTGCTGGGTTTCCTACGTGGTGCGGAGTGCGTCCGTAGTTCCACGGCTAGTTTGCCGGTCGACTCAGTATGGCCGTGATTAGCTGCCGGTCTTTGAATGAATGCTATTCATAGCTTTTGCTGGGGTGCGCCCTGTAGTCTTAGTAACTCTCCATAGTAGACGGACTATGTCACCGGGCTTCCACTGTTCATTATGCATCGGTCGTGTACCCATCCAGCCGTCAGTCACTTCAGACTGCTTTTGGCTTCCGGGTAGCTTTGAGGTTGGCATCATTCCGGAGATCGGCTTTTTGTCGTTCGTTTCAGCTGGACTGGTATTATACACAGGTATATAGATGAAAGCCGGCAGCACCTTACCGGCGGCCGGACAAAACTACTGGCACAAAGTAGAGTGATCTCAGCCGTTTTCTTTTGATGACGCTATCTCAGGTGAATTCGGTCAGCTGACGCACAACTGATTCGCACTTGTTAGTCATACGAGTGCAACCAGTTACTGGTTGTTTCACAACACCATGTGGATGTGCTCGTGCATACACCCCGAACGGGTAGTCTGGACGTACCACCGAAGTCGGCGTGCAATTTTGTCCTGATCAACCTTTTCCTGGGGACCATTGCAGTTCCAAAGATTGGTTGTATACTCGTGCACGCCCACAGGAATCGGTGGGGGTGATTGACGAGGGAGAGGACTTAGTCGGGACAGCTCTACATGGCTTCCGGCGGTCGATGAGACCCAAAGGGCCTTCATACTGATAACAACAGTCGTTCGCCGTCTGAAGCGCCGACGGTTTCACTGCGTAGTTCAGTTGGACGAATCCCAGCACGAGGTCAAGATTTACCCAACTAGTGTCTTGGCGGTACCAATATAATCGGGCACGTCTGGTTGACATTATCATCCAAGCGCCATTGCAATGGGCCAGGAGCTGATGTGATACTTGCCGGAAGAGGGTTCACCTGAAGCAGGACAGGGTGAAAGGTACGGTGAAGAGCAGCTTGCCTAACAGTATTTCCCATTCTGGTAAGTTCCTCTGTTAGCCCACGTTTAGGTTGATTAGATGCGGCCACTGGTCAGCACAAGTTTCACCGTGAGATTCATTTCCGGTGTTAGTTGGCAGTTCATTAGGACGATTGTTAGTCGTTTCGTTGAGCTCGATAGGGGAATAAGAAGGTTACCGTTCAGTTATGTTATTCTTACGACGCCTAGCTGCCACACCACCCGCAGGAAGCACGAGGGCTGGGATGCTGCCAGTTTGTCCGAGCCTGGACAGAATTCGAGAGGTAGAGGTCGAGTTCGAACCACAGGCCTTCCAGTCAGTGAGTTCACGCTCTAACTGAGGCGTCTCACCGAGCTTGGCACTTGAACTGAACGGATCGACAGTTGTCGACAATAGAGGCCGATCACATGTTAAGTGTCGGTTGTCTGGATTTTTGGTCAGCATTGGAGGGGAAGTGAGATAACATCGAGAAAAAACAGTTAAAAGTATCTGCGTTGCCCGGAACGGAAAAGGGGCTTGGAGGTAAGTTTTGCCCGAAGACGGGTGCAGACTTCCCGGAGCTCACCATGCGGAAGTAGGCAAAAGAATTCCAAGCAATCACTGTAAGGCTTGAGATGATGGCATTCTGCTGGGCTAAGTGTAACTGCATTAGTCTTGATTTTCTAGATGCAGCTCACAATCCGAATGTACGGAGTAGTGAGGCCACCGGCATATATAAGTGACCTAGTGAGAGTTACAGCGCGTAGGACAGCAGTGTAACAAGTAGAAGTGCCAACTCAAAGGGGACAGAGAGGGATACCAAACTCAGTTTCTATACCCCTGAGCGAAAAAAAACAATGTACTACCCAGTTCGAGGTAATCAGGAGAAGCGACCAGATGGACAGGTTAGTTGGTCTTAAGATGGCTCCATGCTTTAGGACACCCGAGATAGGTTAACGTGTTGTCATTATCGACAGCTCAGCAGTGATGCCTCGCTTCCGTGCAGCCATAGTTATTTGAAAAGCTCATTGTGAAGTGGCTGGGATGTAGATGCTAGCCTGTCACAACCATTCGTGGGTGATCACGCTTCCAGACACTCGTTCAGACAATCGGGATAGAAACTGACAATACAAACTCTGCTGACATCGATTAGCAGCCATATCTAGAAGCGTACTGAACCCTACCGAGGGTGACCAAGCAACCCCACTCCGGGAGATAACTCGCACCAAGCTTCATAATCTCATGCACCTCCTCAAGGTCAAAGGTTGCCTCTGCGCCACACTGAATTAGACATGGAAAACCGATTATTCAGCATGTGGGATGGATGATCGAGTCATCGCACCTTCTGGTGCTATACGCCCTTTGGTTGAAGTCGACCGACAGTAGTTTTCTGGTGCGTCGCAGATCCGTCTGCACCAAGCTACATGAAACTTGGGTTTGAGACAACAGTTATCGAAGACCTGAGTTCTCAGGCTAGCTGCTGGCGTAGACTACTTCCTCTATCCATACAACAAAACAGCTCATATTGTGTCTAGTATTCAAGGATGTGCCGCCATAGATGTCTGAAATTAGCAAACACGACCCGAGGATTAGAGATTGATTTCATCCCTCACTACAGTCGGAACTAACAATACTGTCAAAATAGTTTAAAATGCTCCACAGGTTCGAATATCTTCGGACTGTTAGTGGCCTGTTCAGTGACTGTGTCTGGGAACTTGGCCTTGCAGGCGGAAAGCGCGTGCCAGTTAGTGGGCTGGTTGATCGGTTCATTCAAAGTACTTGTGCTTTCTCTCCTTGAGAGGGAGGGTAATTTTGCCCGCACACTGCAGATAGACGATGGTTTCACATGCAGCTGTTTGAAGACTTCTTAGCGTTCGTCTCATCATCTCGTAGGTAATGAAATTGAATCGGAACGATCAGAGTGAGAATTGTCCAACACTTTGTACGGAAACATCTGGAAAGCTCCATATATGCGCAACTCCTGGTAGGCGCGCTAAGTAACGCAGACGGATCAGCAAAGTCTAGCGCTAATGTCAAAATTATGGATCGTTCTGGCACCTGACGGAGTGTGAGGATGTGGTCAACGCAACCCTTGCCTGACAGAACTCCTGCTTGATGTTCTCGGGTCAGTGCTGTAACGAACTCTCCCCAGTTGTATGGGACAGTCCCGTTTTCCGAAACGGAGCCAAATAGATCAGACAAGTGCCCACTGAAGCTTCACCCCCATCTCTATGGTTTATGTCAGTTGAGCACCAGTGCGCATTACGGGTGCATTGTCGTCAGTGACAATGGCGTGGATGGTCATCCCCATTCATAGGCTATCCGAACAGGAAGCTGTGTCGCTTGAGAGAAAATATGCACTCACAAAATTCCGAGGCAATGGAGTTTCCAGTTTCGCCACCCAGGTTTCTAGTGCAGTTACCGAACCCGACTGGTTGGCCGCAGATGGCACGAGAAGTGCTGCTCAAAGTGCTTGTTTCAGTGGCCGGTGCATCCTTTTGAGGATAGTCACGCCGGTTAGATCCTTGATGGTTTCACCCGCTGCTGGTTTTCTGGGACCAGCCGCACATATCAGCTGAAGTAATCGGGCATTCTCCTGTTTTCCTAGCATTTCGTGTCCACTGGGCTTCCCGGTGAGTTCCCCATGAGTTAGGTTGGGGACCGACGGGAGCATTTCTCCGAGCTTCACTTCTGTTCGGTATCCAGTCCTTGAGTGGTGTCGATGTAGCAGTGGAACTCCCAGCATCTTTCAGATGCGAATGGACAACCCATGGTGGAGCTGTCAGAAGACTCCGAAAGACGGTTCTGAGAAGTTCGATTGACTTCGCGACCTGTGAGCCGCTCAGGTTCTAAATGAGTTGTTTCCTTACGTGGTCCTGAAAAGTGAGCAGAGGAGCAACTGCGGACGAATTCTTGATTAGGATGCACCAAAGGAGTGACAATCGGTTATTGATCCGACAATGTGATCAGTTTGTCCCTGGCTGGCCCACTGTTGGGAGGGAACTATGTAGCCATAAAATGCCGGTTACTTAGAATTACTACGGCATAAAAAATAGTTCACAGTTACCACACAGCCTCTGTCCGTACGTACCGAATCAAATCCAATTTAACCATTCACTTAAGTCTAAGATGCGCTAAGTTTGTCCACTTGTGCATCAAATATCCGGCAGCTACAAAGATTCCTACCTTTTGGTATGGTAATTTGACACGCAAACCTTCACAAAGTTCTATTTGATGGTATCGGCGATACATTGGGTTGCATTGTAAACAGAGGCGATGAACAGATCGTGGTCAAATTCCCGCCTGTGAGATTCCCTCACGAACGAGCCGCACAGAAACGACTATAGGTATGCAGTCAGGCGATGACCTTTCCGGTCGGTGACTTGGGGTTATACTGGCTCCCACACCTCGTGCCCTATCCGCCTGTCCCAATTCACTAGTTTGAAGCATAATCCACGACTTTTTGCTACGAAACCATGTTAAGTGTTACGTTACTAAAGGATTTATATTTTGAGGATACTCTACTCACTTTTGCATATCGGGCTTTAACACCATGTCATCAGTATTATGATCATAGAACTGGAAGCATTAGCGATGTAGAATATCGCCAGTTCACTGCTGCACAGCCATGCAAATTAGATTACATGCTAAACTAAACTAAACGCGAAAACATCTGATAACAGCCCGGAGTATGCGGTATATAATAAACAATAAAATAATCGTTTAGCTGTAATACCCTTTCGGTGCCTACCTGCCATGGCACCCGAAGGAAGCACAAGGGGTGGAATACTACGAGGTTGCCCAAGGCTAGACAGGGATTCGCGAGGCGGAGGTCGAGTTCAAGTCACTGTTCATACATCTGATCTGTACAAAACCACACAAAATCGCGGTACACAACTTTCCCATCTTGGTCTCTGTTGGAACGGTATTTTGCATCGTTGCTAGTGGGTTTTTCTGGGAAGTGGACAGCCGGTCTTTCAACAAATATCAATTTCAAGGATAACTTCGCGGGACCAGAGTGAAGTGGCCTTAATTCGAAAGTGTTCTCTTAGAAAGGGACCACTGTACGCCGACTATACGGATATGTGTACTGAACTGGCCTCTAGTTTTTTTTCCAAAATCAACACCGTTTGTTGACATACTCATAATTTCAAGCCGGGCCTTGTTCACGTGCACCGTCGCTTCTTTCAGTGGCCCCTTGGGTCACACTTCGTAATTCTGCAAACGAAATGTTTACAGGTATGTGACGGGTTTTCATCAAAACTCAGCCATTTTCCACCAAACGCTTTGGAGCATACAGTAGTGCTACTTGGTTTGCTAGAGATAGTCTTTGATATGTCCTTTATAATTATTCGCTATGATGCAGACTAGTAAACAATAGCTGGCCGATTTCGAGTTGCTTGACACGTCTGATAATAAACGAAGTTCATATGGTTCTTATGCGAATAGAATATCTACTGATATTTAATTGGGATCTCTCGTGATAAAGTGCTCTGCTCTTCTAAATATACCTTACGTTAACAAGCGAATTTAGCAGTGGACCTGTTCTATTGATCTCCAGGGGATTTCTGGCGTTTGCCCTACCATTCAAGTGTCTAGAATCCAACGTCTATATTTTTGAATCGTTAAAATGGAACACAATATCGTCGTGAAGTGAAAATATGTCATTAGTAGGGTTTGTAGTATTCGAACTGTGGGTTTGCACCTCTTTTAGATGACTGGTATCGGCTAATAAGTGAATTCATTAGGAACCAATGGAAATTTGACGAGAGTTTATAAACCAGCCCATAGGCTTCATAGAATGATGTTGTGTTATCCCTGTTGGATGGCCTCTGTTAGCACGGATTTCTTGAAGGTAGTTGCATTATTACAAAATACGTTCTTCCCATTCTGACTCGATCGAGGGAAAGTCAGAA